GGAGCTATTATCCGAGATGGCCATGCTGAGTTAAGTGGACTCCCACTGACAATATCCCTTCCTCTGCACACATGACAATCACCCACACTTGTGAGAAACTATCAGGAGTTTTAAAATTATTTCTACAAGCTTCAGTCCCCTTGTCATTTTCCCTTTGCAAAGTGATAGCACTATTCAAGTGCATTGCATTTTCCTTTGGGTGGCTGCCTGTACTCATGGGGTTTAGTACTTGGTGAGCAGGGTACATCACTGGGTTGTTGGTTACAGTGTGTTCCTCTACTCTCCACCCCATTGTTCAGGGTGATTAACTAGCTTACAACCTGGGGACCATATGAGGGGCGGAGAATGAGTTACAGGGCTTTTGAATAACTCTAATTACTGGGATGATTCAGAAGTATTAAAGCTAAAACTAATGTAAATGTTCCTTTGAGTAGACTCTTTTTCTTCCCCGTGGATGTCGCTTAAGTTAGGGAAAGTGGATGACTTCCTGAGGCTAAGCCCAGGCGGAGGACATCAGTCTTCTCTCTGCGTGGTCTCTGCTCCATGGTGAGACCCTGTGTTGTCACATACAGAGCCCTGCTTTGTGAAGCTCTTCTTTTTTCTCTTGAGAAAATGAGCTCCAATCAAATTTCTAGAAAAAATACCTATTCCTTAGTGATGCCCCATTATAGAAAGCTAAGGCAGCACAGGATATAAAAATACATTTAGTTTTTAGGCTGACTTTGAAAGGAGCAGAAGGAAACACAAGATTTTCCTGTTCTATGTGCATTTTCACACTATGAAAACAATTGTATGGTCTTTCCAGATGTGGAAAGACCAAGCTACCAACCTGAGCTTCCTAGGGTCAGAGTGACCTGTCCTCAGGTGTGTGCTTCAGGAAGGTCATGCCTTGGTATGTGATGGGTCACCAGGTCAGTAGAGGAGTCATGTCTGCTCAGGAGAGGGAGAAGGCTAGGATCTGCCAGGCATCAAGATCTCTGAGTCCCCATCACTGAGCTCCTGCCTACTGTCCCTTACTAGAGTCATCATGGCTGGATTTTCAAAGCATTGCCAACTTAAGGAGGACCTTGAGGATCAAAGCACTATAGAGGATTTTTCTGTTGCTTGATTGCTCGGTTCTCCTCAGCATCCTGAGGGAGGTTCCTATCCTGCCACTACCATGGCTGCCACCCCATTGAACCAATCTCATGGGGGCTCCAGCAGCAAACAAAGGAAGGGTTCATTCTCCTCATGAGTCCTGGCAAACACTGAGCCTTTGATTAGTGATGTCATTGGTGATGACATAGGAGCTGGTAGAGTTTCTGGTTCTTAAGAATCAAATCAAGGGACCGAGAACCAAGGCAGAACTTCTGCCTGTAGTCATTTAAAAGTATGAGGAGCACTTCTTTGTGATCATCAGGGAAATCTCTTGGTGCATGCATCGGTCTCTGGCACTGATATGATAGAAATGGGCTGCTCTGCTCCTCTTATTCCTTGTCCCTACCTTGGCCTCATCTTTGAGGGGACCAGAGCATGCCTAAGGCCAACTTCCTGATAACTGACCCGGGTGTCATCTTCATTTAAGGCAAACATGCTAGTGAGGAAGTCACCTGGGAAGCATGGAGTGGGATGGGGTATATCGTGGGAGGAAGCACTTCATTTATGGGAGCCCAGGAAATCAGTTACTGAGGATTTGACGCAGAAACAGTAGCTAGAGCATTGGAAGGTGCTGAATGGTGATGCTCCTCTAATTCCTGTGGGGTCCAAGGGCCCACACTGAAACCAACAAGAAGAAAGTCCTACAATTTTTGGCCAAGGCCACAGATATCATCCTCAGTACTTTTCCTGTCTGTCATGAGGATGCATGATGAAGAAGAGATAGCCCAACTCCCAGTGCCAGTGGAGAGGTGATGCCTTAGGGTTGGGGCCAGGGCCGTGTACATTCTAAGGCCACACCCAGTAGCTTCTCCTATTTCACATAATTTCTGAGGCAGATTTTTCACTCTGTGTTGGCAAAGAGCATTCACTTTTCTAAACAGTGCAGATACAGAATGAGGATTGGGTGAATTCAATAGATAACACCTTTGCATTTCTGTTTTATATGGGTGTCTTGAAGCTTTTTTTTTTTTTTTGCTATTTTTTCACATTCTTCCTTTTAATACAGGATTTAATTAACTTCAAATTGTAAAAAAAATTTTTTTTCTTGAAGCAGGTTCTCACTATGTAATCAAGGTTAGCCTTGAACTTACTGCATAGCCCAGGGTGGCCTTGAGCTCCTGCCTCAGCCTCCCAAGAACTGGAATTACAAGTGTGTATCACAATGCCTGACCCAAATTGTAAATCTTTAATGGCACTGGTCACAAGCATATTGCTTTTTATATGTTTTAAGAGTTTTGCTGTTTTGTAAAACAAATTGTGACATCTTCCATTCTATTTTGTGATCTAGAACAAGGTAACTTGTCATTGATAAAAATACTTTCTTGGAAGTGTGAAGAAAAAAACCGTCAGTTTTACATACTCAAGAATATTGTTCTAGAATATATAAAAGTATCTTTACATGGAGGCCCTGCTGGCTGGGGAGAAGCAGCAAGGAAGCCGCCTCCACCTCCCACCCCTCCTAACCCATAAGCAACTGGATGTGACACAGGCTGAGATGATAGTAATTGAAGTAGGGAATTAACCTGACATTTATGTTGTTTGACTCACTTTGCAAGCCTGGAGCTGGTAGTCTGGGCAATGATTTAGAGGATAACAGTATGTAATATAGTAATGATTGTGGATTTTCTACTGTTGTATCATTGATTTTTGTTTCATTTTACTGTCCTGCTTTATTACCTTTAAAATAAAAATTAAAAAATAACTTTACATTACTAAAAGTTCTTTATAAAAACTGTTTTTATTGTTGAAAATTTGAAATACAGAGTATAGGGAAGAAAAGCTACCTATGTAATTTAGAAAGAACCACAGCTTTTTCATCTCCTTCCCCATAAGCATGAATCCATTTGCTATGCATTGCATGTGTGGGTTCTCACAGCTCAAGGCATCCAGGTGCCCAACAATGCCACACTTAGCCCATGACGAAGCTGCAGCTCCTGATGAGTCTGTACCAGATGGTTTCCAAGGGCAGTTGGGTTGGACTATAAACAAATGTGAAAGCTGATGCATTCAGAGACTGAAACCCTGAAAAGGCACGCTTTGCATGTGAGTTAAGAGGTCAGGGTTAACCCTGATGGAGTTTAGCCATGGTTAAACATAGAGAATAGCTCTCTGGCCCCTGCCTTAGCTACACTATTTTATTAAAAGTTGGGTATAGAAGGTCAAAACTTGCTGTATTTCTTACATATTTTCATCAACTAAGATTCTGTAAAACAATATTGCCATGAATATCTTGAAATATTTGATCACAATAAATGACTGCAGGAAAATCATCATTCAATGAAAAAAGGTTAATACAGCATTTCTTAAATTATGTCACTATTGGTACATCTGAATAAAAACTGAAGTCCTAAAATAAAGTAGAATGTCCCTTAAGTGCTTTTTATGTACACAAGAATTACCGGAACTTGTCTAAAAAGCCAAATTCTAAGCTCTGCTCCTGAGAGGCTATTACTCACCAGTGTGTGTTTACAAGGACTCCCTCATACACACATAGGTGACTGATACGGCTCCATGCTGGCTAGAGAGCTTTGTGTTTGCATTTTCTCACCACTGGTTGTACTGATGACACTAAAAAGGTTTCTTCTATGGAAAAATCATTTATCCTTTCTTTAATCCTTGGGTCTCACCTTCTAATTCCTTTGGGGGCTGCCTCACCTGGAAGAGTTCTTTCCTCCTTGGTATACCTAACATTTTTAATCTATGCATATTTGCCTTATATTACTAGTTATATGTGGTTCTAAATATATATCTTGTTCCTTCAGGTGGACAGCCAGTGACTTGAAAGCAGATAATGCCATATACCTTGTACAACTCTGCTTGTTGCTGCTGAGGGCATTGTGTTGTAAGACCTTAAAGTCTGAATGCTGCCTTCAGCTGACATTTTTATCCTTACAAGGACGCATAGGTTTAACTTCAAGCACTTCTGATCTTGCCAAGTAAGCCCCATCCAGGGGGAAGGGCCCCACCAAGCTGGTCCAGCTGAACCCCACACGGATTGCCATGAGCCTTCTCTTCCTTGGCAGCCCCAGAAACACTCACATATGCCAGCTACATCTTCTGCAGGAACCAGGAGTACCTCACCCCTTTGTTCCTACAAAGCTGCCTCTCACAAGCCTTGCTCTCCAGTGCAAACCCTTGTGACTCTGGATGCTCTCTTTGGGGGTGGGCATAGCATATGAAGCTAATAAACTGCCATGGTCTTGTCTGTCCAGTGCAGGTGTGTGCACTCAGCCACCATGTCTTACGTGGTGGGATTCCCTTCTTGCTCAGCTCAGTGGACAGGGCTGATCAGAGCAGGGAGGTACATGGGCCAGGTGGCTATATACCTAGATGATGGCTTTGGGCAATGCCTGTATTTTGACCCCTTATTACAGTTTGCATCTCGTTTGGTGCATGGGAATGCTAGAAGACCGGAGCCCAGTTGCTGAACAGAATTTCTAACTCATAGTCATGGGGACAATCATATTTGCATATGATTCACGTCCTCTGTGAAACTGAGCAATCCAGTTGAACCAATGGAATCGGGCTGTCTCACCACATAGCCATAACAACCTACTCCCCCCTCGCTGCTCTTTTCTCCAAATGGCTCTCTGCAGTGGAACATATGCAGGAGACTGGTGTTTATGCAATATGGCTCTTTTCCGAAAACTGTGCAGATTTTGCAGGAGTATTTTAAATATCCAGGGAAATGTTTACGCTGTTTATTATCAATCCAAGAGTAAAGTCCCTGGCATATTCCTTGGGAGACAGCTTGAGAAATCATGAACAATGAGAAGAATCAGTGATCCTTTAAATAACAGGCTAGAAATTACGGCAATGTGCTTGTGCTTCAAAAGCAGCCAGCCCCTTCACGGGGCCCTTACCTTTCAAGGTGGCTTTCTTAAGGACTTTCATGGCATAGAGCTGTCCAGCATCAGACCCTGTGACCTTCCTCACCAGGAACACCTGAGAAGCAGAAAACATGTGAACCTGATGACACTTCAAACTCATGGTTTCTATTGACTACCAAGGGGGCACACAAAGTTAGAAAAATTCCAATAACATAAATGCCATTGGAATTCTGAAGCTCTCTTCAGCAACAAGGATGCCAGGAAAAGCTCCTTTCCTGTAGCTCCCTGATGTACATGGCCACTTGTGCAGGAAGAGCTGACTGGTTCTGGTACCAGCAACTTTCTATTTGATGCTAGTAGCACCATCTTTGTCCTTTTAGAAATGTTAGAAGAACAAAATATTTAGAAGTTTTAAAGGAGATAATTTGTTCTGTTTTCAAGTACCCTTTTGTAAACCCTGTACCCTTGAAGACAGTTCAATTTAGCAGACTACACAGAACAGGCCCAAATGTCAAGATACACAGTTTCTCCCATGAACTTTCTTTAGACAAATTTTGGCTGGGGGCAGCTTAAGTTTATAGATAGAATTAGTTTCTGAGAGTCTCTTAAAATATTGGTGCTTATGTTTGATGTCAGAAATACTTTTTTAAATCTGTAAAATGAAATTTTTAAATTTTTTTTTAAAATTTAAATTTTAAATTAAAACAATTTTTAAAAATTTATCTTAATCACTTTGGAACAAAATCAGGAATGAAAAAAACTCTGGAGTATTTTTTATAGAAAACAAAACAAAACAAAAAGCTTCTTTCATTCATATGAAGAAAATATTGACTTTCCTAAAAGTATTTCTCAATAGAAGCAAAACTGCTCCTCTGATGGGGTCTGGCGAAGTACTGGGTGGAAGTGGCTGCTTGTGAGGTGTGATTTGGAGGGTGACATTATATTTCTCCTTTCCTGAAGATCACCTTTATCAAAAGGCCAGAGCACTGGCCTCCCTATACCATTCATCCACACCACAGGGTACTCTAGCCACATGCAGAATCTGAGAGCCCTCCACCGGCCACATAGGCAGAGCCTTTGTGAGCCCTGCACTTGGAGGGTGGGGTGCCAGCTCTCTGTCACGGGCAGAGATGTGTTATGTAAACCCAGCTCCCCCATAGATGAGGAAGAGGGAAGAGAGAGAGGAAGCCGAGAGTGAGAAGACACGTGGCCCAGCACAGGAACATGCATCCATGGAACCTGAACATCAGTTCCACATCTAGGCCAGGTGCCACAGAAGCAATTCAACTGCCTCTTGACTCTGGTGCTGCCCTTGTCTGTTCCTGAAATGCCAAGCAGAGACAACAGACATCAGAACTCTCTCTTTCTCTCTCCCTCTCTCTCTCTGTCTCCCTCTTCCTCTCACTCTCCTTCTCTCTCTCTTTTCAAGGCAGAGTTTTGCTAAGTTGCCAGGTGAGGCTGGAATTTGTGATCTTCCTGTTTGAGCCTCTCAACGGGCTGGGATTTACAGTGCTATCCACCATGCCTGGATTCTTTAGGGATTTTGGAATGCAGTCTCTGAGAATTATCTTTGAGATGTGTGAAGTGTCTGTGTGGACATCTGTGCACATCTCCACAGCTGGACAAATGGGCATGAAGTACAGATGTGGTGGACAGTGTGCTTACCCTCTCATGTACTGATTGTACATAGGATATGAGGCACTGATCCCTTCTGTGGGACCCAAGGTCTCCATTAGCGCCCTCCCCCATCCTGCTGTAGCCCAGGAAACTACTGCTGATGCTGTCTTGGGAAACATCCTGCCAGCACAAGACAACTCCTTTTTTGTGTGGGAATGAGCTTGACACATGACAGAAGTGGTCAGAAGAAGGCAATTTTGCAGAGAGGAAAAACATTTGTGAGTGTCTCTGTCCTGTGAATCCTGGCAAAGCTGAAGCTATGCAGTTTCCGTTTCCATCTGATGCTGTAATTTCATGCTTGGAGCCTCACATACCCACTCTGACTTGGTTATTAGTGTTGTTGTGGCACCTCTGACCCTTACCCTTGATGGTAACAGGGTATTGGGAAGCAGGGGTCAAGGCAAGGAGTCCAGGTTGAAGCAGAGACTGATTGAGGGTGTCCATAGTTCCCAAGGGTCATGTGGGCTGAAGAACAGCCACTAAGCACCCATCTTCCTACCTGGCCCTAGGGGCCCTTTGGGCTGAGCATAAAGGGACTGGCCCACAGTTGGCTGTATCTCCTTGCAGTGAAAGGTGTGTGCATGGCACAGCCTAGTCACTGGGTCACTGCAGCTGTACAGGTGTCCCCAATCACTGTCTGAATCCTGGGTGGACTCTAGCTGGTAGACAGAAGAGTCCCACCACTGTGCTACAGTGAGGTTAACATGAGCCTCAAGAAGAGGTGTGTTTGTAGCCAGAAGACAGACAACCACAAAAGCCCCCTTTTAAGATGGGAAGGAGAAAGGAATTCAGTTCACAATGAGTGAGGGCTTTGAAATATCCACAACTGATCTTATCTGCCCCCCTTTCCATCCAGTCCCTGACAAGATGAGGAGTCATAGGTTGAATGTGTCTTCAGAATTCATGTGATGGGATCTTGATTCTTAGTGTGGTGGCATGGGAGGTGGGGCCAGGCGTTAGGTGACAAAGATGCCTGCTGCATGTGTGGGTCATGGCTGCTCTTTCAGGAGTGGGTCAGCAGATCTCTCTGATGGCTTTGTTCTAAATACAACCCACACTTTTGTACCTGTTATTGCTCTCTGCCACAAGATTCCCTCCACCACGTAGGACGCAGCCCTTACGGGATGCCCACAGACTCTGCTGCTCTTTCCTTAGACATCCCAGCTTCCAGAGCCATGAACCTTATAAACATCTGTTCTTTATAAGTTACTCTGTCTTTATTCTGTATAAATTCAGTTATAGCAACATGCAACAGACTAAGAAGAAGATAAAACATGAATTCAAAGAGCAGGGAAAGCCCATTCCTTTGAAGTTTAAACTGAAAACTACATTTACCTGGGCAGTGGGCAACCACCAGCTATGATCTAGTTTAAACAGAGTCAAATTTTGCAGAGATATTTACATAACCCTCCTTTCCCTATTGTATTCAGGCTTTACAAACAAGGTGCCTGATAGCTAGGGCCACTTATCTGTTTAAAAACAGGAACAATCCCATCCTATCAGTATTTATCAAGCTCCCACTGAGTGCCAGGCATTGCCTAGGGATTGTGGCAGGTGCTCCCAGTGGTTGGCAGGGGGCCCAACAGGAGACACATGGAGACACATGGCGCCTTGAGATAAACAGACAAAATACTGTCAATGGTTAAACAGGAAGTCAGTGATAAGTGGAGTGACACACTAGAACCCAGCAGGAATCTTGCTCCAGCTCCATAGCACTGGTTCCCTCACTCACTCTCTGGCCCTGCTCATACAATTTAGGAATCGATTTTGATGGAGTGAAGTAAGTTCCAAAACAATGCTGGCAATTTTAGTAAATGTCATCAAGGGGTATCTAACACCTAACCCAGTGCTACAAGCCACTTCATTGCATTTTTAGAACAGCTTAGCAAGACAACTGTGACAACCAAGGCCTGGTGACAGACATCACGTCATCCTGCACTGCCCCAAGTTGTCAGGGATCTGAAAACTCACTACTCGATTCTCTTAGCTCTCCCAGTGTTGGGAAGTGGCAGGTGGTCTGCAGAATGCTCCTGGTGGGCACTTTCACGGGATATTAGGATAATAACCTCCTCCAAAAGAGAGCATTTAGAGCCTAATGGAAGGCCATTACTGGGTGGGTTGTTGGGATGCAAGGTCTGTACCAGCTGGGGCAAAAGGAGCAGGCAGACGGTAGGTAGGAGCTTTGTGGGATGGACACATAGAGATTTCTTCTTGCAGGTGTCAAAGAGAGGATTACTCTTGCCCAAGGACACACTATCTCTAATAAAAGGCAGAAACAGGATCACATGGAATAGCAGAATACATGGCTTTTCCCTGTTTGTCACTGGTGTTGTCTTTATGAAATACTCATAACAACCCATCCCATTTGTGTGGATAAATATAATTTTATTTGCAGCTTCCTTAATTTCCAAGATTGGCTCCAATCTTATCCCAAGAACTTTGGCATGATGTTTCCAAGCACTCCTTCTCTGTTTCCCAAAGTCCAGTGCAGGTCAATGCACTAAGAAGACCTGAACTCACTTCCCAGTTCAGCCATGGTTTGGACCAGCTGCCACAACAATCTCAGAAAGCAGTATGTGCTGGCCAGGTAGGCCTGGGCTCAAATATTCATGGGAGCTTCCTATCTTCTCCTCCTGATTCTCCTCTAGACCATTATTTTCTTGTTTATTCCTCAATTAGCAGTGTATATGTCGATATCAAGATTTGAGTTGCCAGAGGCTGGGAAGGAAATATGTTGTGTGTCATGAGCATTATCATTTCTAGGTGATTCTGCTAACCAGTATTTCACTTGCTGTTTTCCAAGGAATGTCTTTTAAAAGCAAAGTTAAAATTCAGAATTTGAAATTTGCACCAGGGACTTGGGGAAGACTTTTCTCCAGTCACTTTTAATAGTCAATTCTCTAAGCAAGATATTTTGCTTGGTGGTTCTTGTTCAGGAAGGTTACTTACAGGACATCTAGGGCTTTAGTCTGATTCTAGAACACTCAGGAAGCAACTTCCATCTTTCAGGGACCAAGTTCTCACAAGTAGTAGTACAGCCTGTCAGCCACAGCCCACAGAGATGTTCCTGGGCCTCACCTTCCTGTCCAGGGTGAGGGTGACACCTACTCACATAGGATGCTTCACTCTCACGGAACAAGACCCTGGCAATGCCTTCCACAGTGAAGTGGGAGGACCCTGGACTGTGTTTGCAAATCATGTTCTTAGAGACAGAATGGTTCCTCTTATACTTTTTCTACTTTTCTGATTAATGACAAGACATTCCATGGCCACCCGAAACAGATTCTGTCATCTTCTTTTTAGTAATGGCTGTTTACATCATGAGACACAGAAATCTCTATTTTACTCTTTCCATAAATCCCATATAAGCTATAATAAAAACCTTTTTTTTGTACTGGGTATCAAACGCACAACCTTGTACTTACCAGGCAGGCACTGTGCCACTGAGCTGTATCCCTGCCCAGAGCCATTTTTATAGACCAAAAGATCATTGAATACTGGTACATTATTTATCACACTTATATGTGGAAAACAAAAACTAATTCTACTTTATAAACATAACAAAAGATGAATTCTTCAAATACTCAAAGTTATGTTACCCAGAAAATTAAGATACTCTTAATCCTACACTTGAATCAAATTGGATTGTACCCAGTTCCATTTTGGAAGAGTCAAGTGAAGAGTGAGGTTTGGTTAAATGTTCATGAAAACAGTTAAAGATCCAAAACTGTTCCACTCACACTTAGGGAATCAAGTTGTCAGAGCCTATGTATATCTATCTCGTTGTTAGCACCAAGGATGTAGAGAAGTCAGCTACTCATTGGAATAAGTCACATATCAGAATTGAAAAAGACATTGATTTTCCATTATTTCTGGATGTGCCATTAAATGGAAAGCCAGTATTTATCATTTCTAGAAAGCAATCAGCTTTTATTTCTATGATTTAGATGTGAAAAAGGAAGAAAGAAAGCAATTCTATTGTACAAATGTATCTTAGGCAACTGCCAGATGGGATGTGTGTCTTATTTAATATATAGCATAATTTAGAAAGCAGGTTATATTATCCTCACTTTATGGATGGGGAAACTGAGGCTCTGGGATGAAAAATAACTATGTAGGTGACATGGAAGGAGAGAGAGAAAGAGGAGACAGGCTGCAGTCCCAGCCTCCCTGACTCCTGAGTGGCAGTCATGTGGATCAATCCAGAGAAACATTTCTTCTTTTCTCTTTTACTTATTTTTTCCTTTCTTTCAAAAACTAGGTATTAAGGATGGATTTTCATCAATGCATTGTCTGATGTTCAATACTCTACTCTTCTGGTGACAGATCCAAGCCCAGAGAAGCCTCTACCAGAGGCCAGAGATGCACAGTGGCTTGAGAGCACAGCTCTGTGGTGACCAGCTGCTAGCTATGTACCATTTGCTCAAAGTCCTGATGTATACAAAGTCTAACTGATGGCTGTGCCAATCAAGGACCTGAAATTTTTGGCCTATCGGGCTCAACCCCCAAGGTCTTTTGTATACAGTAATGAGACAATACACAAATCTACAGAAATCATGCTACATAAATCTAAGAGTTTAACCTACCTTTCCGTAGGATCCTTGTCCTAAAACCTTTAACAGTTCAAACTGGGAAGGGTCTGCCTTTTCAAATCCCTCTTTTACATGATGACTGATGTCGATCTCCTTCACGATGCCTTCTTCCTATAAAAGATCAGGGACACATGGTAAATATGCCAGGGATCCCTCCGTCCACCATGACTCCCCATTGCTGAGGTCCCCATGGGCTTGTTGTGCTGTGGATTTCCAGTGCTAGAGCCTGAAGTCAGCCCTGTGTGGCTTTGGACCATCATCTCCAGCCACGTGAACTATCAGGTGTCTCTTTCCTCTAGGGACTTCATCATTTGTTCTTACCAGTGCCACAGAAATATACTCTTAAATTTACTCAAGGAAATCTATTCTGCACCTTAGTTGTTTGGGCAGAAGTTTTGGTAGGGATGAATACAACAGCTATGGAACAACATGATCCCAAGAATGTCTGTGCTTCAGCATCAGTGGGCATAGACTGGTTCTCCTGGGGAACTCATTAAAAAATGCAGATGGCTTATTCACTTTCTTCTTCTCACTCACACTCCCCCTGATATTTTTGACATAGATAATGTGAAAAATGCTTTCTTGCCATCCTACAGATTGTATTTCAGAAACAGCAGAGAAAATTTTCTGCCTGGCTGGAAACAAGATTTCTCTATAGGAAAAAAGACCTGTCACCTTAAAACCTTGACAAGAATTGCTATGAATTTTCATTATAGAAACTCCTTACTCAAAGATACATGAATTCATCTGTAGAGTAGGCAGGCTGTCTGCCTCATATCACCATTTGGGAGTAGGGAAACCGGAAAGCAGGTGTTATTCCCCACACTAGAGCCCAGCCGTCCCCTGAGTTCATACCTATACTTCTTAGAGATGCCCTTCCAAACATCTATCTCAAGCCTCTTCTGGCTTCCCATAGTGCAGCCCAGCTGATATGCAGGTCAGACACCAGAAGGTACATACTAAAGCTCTTTATAGGCTATTTCTCATCAAACTCTGTGGCTTCTGAGGTGGAGATTTTCTCCCAAACTTGGTCACACAGCCCACTGGGCCAGAGTTGATCCTCCAAGCCAGGACTGACTTCAAGTCACACACCTCCTCCCACAATTTCAGTACAAGAGCAAAGATTTTGGGTGAAATCCCAATAGTGACCATAGGCATTAAAATGTTTGGAAAATTCAGTTAGTTACTTATGTCAATCACCTTCCTGCCCACAAAGCAGAGGAAAAAAAAAAGAGAAGTCATGCAGTTTCTTCTGGAGTCTCCATTCTGAAACTTGAAGGAAATATTTTCATTGTTACATCTTCAAGGGTTATTTGCCGTATTTGTAAAAACAGCTTTTTAAAAAATTTGTAAAGGCAAACAATGATTGTTTGCCATTACTTTTTGAATAAAGAGGTTAAAAATGTTGCAAGCATAGTCACCCAACGGGTGCCATGATGATACTGCAGCTTTGGGATGTCACGTTGAGGACATCCAGGACTAGAATGCAGTCTGTCTGGACCTGTAGGACCATATGGTACCACAGGCTCTGTGGTGGAATCTCTCAGTGTACAACAGGGAAGGGAAAAGTCATCGGGGGACGCTGGAGCTCAGTGTGTCACTATAGCTGCCGGCAAGATGTAGGTGACTGAATTCTCACTAGGAAAACAAAGCCAACAGCCAGGCTCCAAAAATTCCCTCTAGAACACATGCTCTTTTCCCCTGCCACTGGCATATGGATGACAAGGGATGGAGCACTGTTTACCATTTAAATAAGATAAACTTTTCTGTCATGTAACAATGGGTGGAGATTGTCCGTCCTCTGCCTACAGGACTGAGGTGGGCAGGCAGGGATGTGTGAGTCAGCCAGAATTCCGGCCTTCTTCCTGAAATAACTGTGGCCACACAGGTGTATTAATGCACAACTGTATCACCAGAAGGTAGCAATTCACTGAGCACACTCCAGTGATATAAACACAGGCAACCACACTGCTGAGCAGAATGTCAAACTCAGTAAACTCAGAGTCTGGCTGGGGGTGGGGTTGAATGTGGCCAAGGACATGGGTGACAAGAAGTTCACATTCCCTCTTTCCTAAAGTGGGTTTCACAGAGCTTATGTTCTGAGGATTTCCAGATTGTTCCTTCTCAGAAGCTTTTGGAAGGGCAGAAGCTCATAGGTGTGGAAATGACGTCACAGTCTACTGCCTGTGTTTGAGGAACACACCAGCAGACAGGCTTCCTCAGCAGACACTGTCGGCAGGGCCTGTCCACAGAACTGAAGCTGATCTCTGCTGAGCCTTCAAGATGCCCACCCATCTGCCTGTTCCTGGCTCAAGTGGCTTCACACCAAGAGAAATTTCTAAGAACATCAGCCCAGCATCCCAGGTTGCTCCAGTTTCTTGCATCCTTGGCATTTTGATCTCCATTTTAGTCATTTACCTTTTTGAGTTATGTCCCTAACATTTCAAATAAAAGGTTTAAACATAAGTCTTCATTGTGCTTTGGCTGCATGCATATTCACATTGTCAAAGAAGAAACAAAGAGATGCAGAGCATGTATATAACTTTAAATACCTCCTTGAAAGGTATTTAAAACTCCAGATTTTTCCTCTGGTAATACTGCAGTACATTAACTTCACATTCAAAATCAATAATATGGCTGAGTGTGGTGGTGTCTTCCTGTAATAGTAACACTCCGGGAGGCTGAGGCAGGAGAATCACAAGTTCAAGCCCAACTTGGGCAAATTGGTAGCAGTGAGATATTGTCTCAAAATAAAAAAAAAAAATAAAAAGATCTGGGGGTGTAGCTCAGAATGAAGAGCCTGGGTTCAATTCCCAGAAGCATAAAGAAAAAATGATCAATAAGGTCTTTAACAACAAAGGATCTCAACAGTCTACAGAAAGAGGGAGGAACCAAACAGGCCACTTTAGGTTTCAGAGTTTTGCATTCATAGTGATATTTTGGCTTGAATGTGCCTGAGGCCACCTAACTTTGTCAGGTCTGGAGCTCAGGGACTGTGGGCTGTAGGTCATGTGAGCCAGCAGCAGCCTGGAAAACGGGGCGCCTCGGGGAAGGCTGCTCCTACCTGCCCACCTACCTACCCCGTGTGCTGTGTCATTTCCTGATTATTGTCTCAGAAGGCAATGAGAAAAAAATTATTCCTGTCTCGTTTTGAAATAATATTTTTCTTTTCTCTTTTGTGAGGCAGGTTGTTTTTATCTAGAACACAATGTGGGCTTTAATGCCATTCCCTTAGGAAAATAAAACCTATTTCTAAATCAGCTACATGCATGGCAGTACACATTTGGATTTTAACTCAGTGCCTGGGAAGGATATTTTTTAAAGTAACTAGAGAGATGTTGGGAAAAGCTGGCTTGGTGATCAGGTGCTACCTCCACTGCAAAGATTCCAAAAATTTTGCAATGTGAGAGATGGAAACTAGCGATTCAGTTTATATAATGCCCATATATGATAAAATGAATTTTTCAAATCTCAGCTGAGGGGTGTTTGAAATTCTGACCAACTGCAGGGCCCTTCAGCAGGCAGAACTGCGGCCAAAGCTGGCTGCCTGTGGCAGTGTAGCCTCTGCTTTCCTGGCCACACCCTTCTGCCCTTTAGGGGATTTCCTGTTCTGAGTCATCTGTGGTTCATGTCATTAAAAGTATAATATTCACAAAAAGTAAACATGAATTCAAAGCTGAGGACTAGTAATGAAAAAGACATAATAAATAAATTTAGACGCGTTAGCTTTATTTTAGAAAAAGCCAGAGGTCGTTTTAGAAATCACCAAATCATACATAGGATATCAATTCCTAGAAAAATATAGAATGTAGTATGAGCAGTGATTCAGACACATGGTGAATGTTTAAATTAAAAAGTTTATTGTGTTAAGGGACACAGTGCCATTAACATCCCTCAAAATACTCCTCCTCACTTCAAATACACTTATCTCATCATCCTGCTACTTTCTGAAGCAGTCTGGAAGTCCTCTTCTGGGAGGACTTCATAGCTGCCTCAAGATCCTGAAGTGATTCAAACCGTCTACAGCAACTTCTGTCAAATGAGAATGTTATGGTCTATCCTCATCCACCTTATTCCCAGATCCAGCACTGTGCAACTTCTAGCTTTTCCCCCAAGTGAAAATGACTGGGAAAGCAAACATTTTGAATTGGTTGAGGACATGGAAGCAGCCACAACAGCACAACCAACTAAATACATCCACAACAAGAAGCAGGAGGCTAGGAGCCTGGCTTTGATGAGAGTTTAGAACTCCTTCTCATGGCTCAGCTCATCAAGAAGCCAACGCACCGTAAGATTCAAGGGTGGAACACAAAGCCACTCTCTCATGGCACAATATGTGACCTGCTCTCCCAAGAACACCTTGTTCTAGAGATTTGCAGCCTGGTGCAGGCCATGGTGCTCACAGACACACAGTCAGCTCAGGGAACTGGTTGGAAATGTAGATCCCATGGCCAAGCACTGTACTACTGAGTTACATCGCCAGCCCTTGGACAAGGCCCTTTTGTTTGGATTCTCTGAGGAGGTCCCCAGCTCTGACTACAGCCATATTTACAGCCTGGCTTCCAACACCAGCGCTGTTCTTGAGACATCAAATCCCCTGACTTGCTATATCCAGTGTCAGATTTAGTGATCAGATTCAGTCCCCCATGGCTCTGAACACAACAGACTTCCCACTATCCTAGAATCTCTTCTTGGATTCCAGACGCCTCCTTTTGCTTCTGGGTGGTTCAGGATTTTTAACCTCACTGTGATACCATGGCTATCACATCTCCATGTCCAGCTGGGCCCTTGCCCAGAACTATAGCTCCAGAAGCGGGACATGGGACACATGCATGGAACACATGCATGTGCACTTGAGGTTTGCAATTTGTACAAAGTGGCCAGAAGTCAATTGGTTGGGTGGAGGCAGCCTGAAGTGTGTCACACAGCCCCCAGCCCAACCTCAAGCTGTACAGTCACCTGTGCTTTAGGACAAAGGCAGCTCTGCTTGTTTTCCTCCCGTGAGCCCTAACACTTATCCAGGGTTTACCCTGAGTATGCTTTACTATATCTGGACTCATGAATACTTTTATATAGTTTTCAAAAGACATTTCATCCAGAACATTTGGGGC